CAGCTGTAGCACACTTTCCGTGCCTAGCTGCCATGCCACCCAAAGGTTGCACGAGGGCTTGGATACTTCCAGGTTGCCCAAGCCTTAACAGAGGAACTCGAGAGACGCAGGTCGGGTTCGAAACACAGACCTTCCGGTGAGTAAATTTGCACTCTAACTACTTAGGCCATTTCGCCCCCAAGATCGTGTTCTTTTTTTAGGTATGTTGTGAACTAGCAAAATATTTATAGATAACTTCTTGGGACTATTTTTAAAGAGACAATTCAGCAGGAATATATTCAGTCGCCTTCTGCTAATTTGAGCTCTTCTGGATGTTTTTAGGCGGTGTTCAAACTTTCATGCTAAGCAGTGTTCATCCAAAGTGTTAGAATAATGCAGTCATTCGTTTCGGTAGAATGCACAAACGAATTTATTCCTTCATTTGGTAATAATAAACAGGTTGTAGGTGGTTGCTATAGGTAGACTCATCATTGAAAGTTTGCCGGTTCGCCTAGGAGGAAGATGTCACTAGCGCGGTTAGAACTTTTGGTAGGAACAGAAATACTGCCAATTGTGAGGCAAGAAAATTTACAAAATGAGGGCAATAACACCAAAAGATCCCCTTCAACCAGTTTGCCTCCTCTGAACTAATTTCAAAAAATTGTTTCTACACAAGAATCAAAAGGCAACATATGTCCGCAACAAACCTATTCCAAATGATCTGTTAAGGTGCTCCTAAAAGAGCTGAAAAACACATCGAATTGTTTCTCTGAGATTCTGGTGATCGACACATCCTCACCCAGTCTAACACAAGGGAACAATTTTTAACGCCCCATATAACTGGCTTTTGCAGAACGTGTGATGAATCACTAGCTAGAAAAGCAAAAAAAACAGATAAAGACGCTAAGAAACTTAAACGCGGTGGTAAATTCTCTGCACTTCATGGTGTACAACGAAACTAATGGAACGCATCTCCCACTAGAAGCCGTGAGCACCACATATTCTTGATAAGCTATTCCAGCTCCACTGAATACGTTGTACAAAATGGTTGAAAAGGTCTGTTAAGTTGAGATATGCTAAAAATTTTACCTACCAGCTCTACAAAAACTATCAAAAACAAGTGGGTTTTACAGTACTATTAGGTAGCACTGTCGGGAATGATACTGGAGAACATGAACCGCTGTTCAGAGGAAATCACGATTTGCTAGTTCGTATCAAATTGCATCCGATGCACTTACATATACCATAAAAACCGAACAGCCATGTGGTTTTGCTAAATAAGTCACAGAAGATTAATAGCACTTTCGAACCGTTTTGGGCCCTGTAATAGACAACAGCCTGTCGCACTAATATCCATTTAGGATAGAACAGCGTTACAGGTAATCCATATTTATACACGCAATCCGACTATAAATTATGTTAGCTGACAAAATAATTTTTTGGGATTTTATGACATCCTTTTTAATAATATAGTTTGGTTGCTTTCATACGTGTGTAACTGTACTTGCCCCTTCCAGTCATTTAAGGTTGGAATGTTTTGGTCACTCCATTTGTAAGTTGACAAGCCGCAAGTTACTGTTTACACACTCGAAACTTGTGCCAGGAGAAAGATTTACGGGAATGTTTGCTACAATAGATTTGCCAGGATTGAAGCCAGTTTATTTCGATCAGAAATCGATACGTCTTTTCACGTCTTGTATAATCTAGTTTGCGCTTTTGTCTCGACCTTTCTTCCGCGCTAAATAATACGGTAGAAGGTTCTCGTAGATAAGTATCAATTAGCCGTGTATAGTTTCCTACGCTCGTTGTACAAAAATGCAAACGAGGATATAATTCTGATGACATTTGGATAACTGTTTCTTGTAACCCTCGGAATGCCAACAAATCCTCCCATACACTTTCTGAATTCTTGCCTTTTAAATTATAGAATTCCACTTAATGGTATTTCTTCCAATTGGGAAATCAGGCCGCATTGCAACTTCGTGGAATGTATAACAACAGAGCTTTGTTGTTGAACAACCAAGTAACCAGACCTATCCAAGCTATCGAATAACTGATGAAGTAACAAACGCCGCTTTACAATTGTAACAAGTATCTTACTGTACGTAAGCTTGCCTGAGCAGGACAGCTTTAATGTGCTGAGGAGCATTTACACATGTATACAAGTATGTATGGGCAGAGATGATGCAAAGAGGGAATTTCCTTCCCGAGATTCAACAAGCTGGACACAAAACACTTGCAATCAGAGAAACAACTCTCGGCCCCGTGTGTTTCCAAGATTCGTCACCTCATACAAAACACTAAATTTATCAACAGTTGACCTGCCTTTCAGCTCAGTTTCGGAGGAACTGTTCTAATCGGTTTTTAATACTGATTTGAAATCGTTAGTCTCTGCGGTTCCTTGAAAGTTCCTGGAGTCGCATGCAAACTGCTTTGTACAGCTCAATACACTTTTGATCAGAAACCCCTCACGGAAGCAATGAATGGCTCTCAGAAAAGCACAACATTCTATCCATTAAAACGGCATAAAAGAGCTTTTTGAAATTTTCTGGACAAATTCCAGTACCAGTAACCAAGTGATGGAAAGAAACGGAATGTTGACAGCTTGCGTGTTCAAGATAAATCACACAATATCCGGCGACACAAGATTACTTGACGAAATAAAGAGTGCTGTCACGCACATCACTATATGAGTCATTATTCTACATCATAATGATAAAATGAGACCCATCGGGTATTCTGGATCTTTATTAAGTGATAAGCCATGGTCTTAAGTAGTTGAAAATGTTTTTTTGAATGGGGATGATTGGAACAGCTTTAAACGTCTGATCGAAAACTCGAATGCATTTGAGTTCTATTGGGGTATAAACCATTTACAAATCAACGCATAATGTGTTCAGCTTTACACCGACGCAGACTCAGTATCTAGATGACATAAACCCATAATCCATCACAGAAGAGTAATACGGTGGCAGTGTTTGCCTTTGAATTAGGATGCATGGTGGCTTTTATTTGCGTAGATCTGGATCCAAAGAGGCTCAGATCTCAGAGAAATCGTTTAAAAATTGGGTACTTGGTAGTTCGTTGTTACGCCTGTCCTTTCGTTTACATCTACGTAATTTCAAGAATTCTGTACCGCTTAAACATTACTTAAGTACAAAAATCACTAAACTCCTACAAGTTTACGCAATGATGCACACTAACATGATTGTAAGCTTTCCAACCAACCAGCAAAATAGAGCATTGGACAGGTTTCCCTGATGCTAAGTCGATAACCAAACAATATTCAATTTTTCAAGACGTACGCAGCGTGCAAGTTTTGGTGGAGCCTCAAGTAATGCACCGTCTCTTTCTATTGCATTCTGGTGACTGAAGTACATCTGCCTAGCAGAAGAAATATATTCCAGTACCGGCTAGCGTGATAACCAGCACACCCGTTGGCTACGAGGTCTTCTTCAACACGTTTCAATTGAAAGTTAGACAAATCCCCAACTGGGAAACGAAAGCTCCAGTTTTTCTAAAGGACACGTCAATCAAGCATTTATTTTGCATCAACTAAAGAAAAACGCTTCGACTTACAGCTGCTTACTTCCACGTCATTCATCAATTGTCCTAGTCATTTCTGGCTCCGTGAATTGTTATGCACCGCTGAACGGTAGATTGTTTAGCGAAGCTCCACCCAAAATTTTTAGCTCGAGTATTCATTCATCAACGTTGAAGTCTGGGTACGTGGTGAGGAATACCCCAACTTTGGTCCAAACGGTGATCCACCGTCTCCAAATTCATGTTTGCTCAAGCACGAATGCATGACAGACGATACTTTCGGGAAACACGAAAACGCCTAGCCTAAAACAGTGTACCTAGTGGCATCGCCAGTCGCTTGTGTCCACCAACGTGTTATTTCGTTAGATTGAATAAATAGTGTTATTTGTGTGCCAGACAAGAACGTTGTTTTTTTATTCAGTTTATTCACGAAACCGTTAGTTTTTTCTCGAAATAATCACTAAACCAACTCCTTACTAATAACTCTAGGCTTTCGCACTCCGCTTAAATGTTAGACAAAACAAAAAACGAAGATAGATCGTCAATGCTTCATGCACATGAGATTTCTAACATTCGTTCGAAAACTCCGGTACATAACCAGACAGCAGAGAAAATTCTTAGGTGAATCCAAATGAGCCTTTTTCAAATTCAACAACTGGACTTTATTTATTTACCTTGGATGAGAAGAGCTGTTTTGCATATTCCTCGCCAAGACCCTGGATTTTGGCATCCGGCCAAGGGAGGGTTACTTTCTGAATCAACGCCTCCATAACATCGTTCGCAAGCTACGTGCCAAGCTCGACGAACATATCAACGGCCATCTGATTATCTACCGCACCCCAGCTACCAATATTTCGGCATGTTGACACTGATTGCTCATGCCGAAATAGAAAATTGGCTGTACCATAGACACAATTTAAACCAATAACAATACTCAGATTTGACTTCCTAATTATTGGTTAATGTTAATCGTTTGTAGATGCAGTTTACACAAATGTCAGGCCAAACAAGTTTTTTTTTCATTTTTCTTCTAGATAAACACAGGCTTCTTTACCTTCACTAGTTAAAAAGAGACTGGTCTATTAGTTCGGCTATTTGGTGTGATGTTTGGTGGAGAACAATTTGGCACAGAGGAATTTTTGGCCGCTTAATGTGCTCCGTGGAGTCTTTGAAAAAAAAACAGGATAGTAGACAACGTTCAAGCTTCTTCAAGTTTCTGGTTTAATTTCCAGTCTGTTTTGTGGCGATAACCCTTACACCATTTTCATCCAGAGTCTAGCACTCCTTACTATATTTCTTACTATGCGGATCAAACCTCATGGATCACATAGTTACAGTGATGTGACTAACCTTTCTTTTTGTATAATAGTAGTAACAATACAAATATCGGGTGTGGCGAATGCGTAAAAATTGCATGAGACCTGTCGTGTTTGTAAAACTTAAACGACAGAGTAGTTTTTCACTTCACTCAGTTCAGAAATGTGTCGGCGACATTCCGCAGTTTAGTGACATCTTATGATGGGCCTTCATTCCGAATGCTGTTCAAAAACATTTCTGTAGCCTGAGGTTTCTTGCCTATAAAAATCGATCCTCCTAGCTAGCTAGCACAACACATCCTCAAATGTCGCACATTTGAAAATTATGGTTAAATCAAATAGTGTGTTCCGCAGAACTGAGGGTGACTATAACGTGTAAAAAAATAACACAATATTCCAAGGCTCACTTTCGGGAGGCTGTGTGCAAATAAGCCGTCATTGCAACAAAGAAAAAAGGACTTCTCTAGTTTATAACAATGTGTCAAAGAACAGTGTGGTGTGTAAAAGTGAACCTAAAAAACTAAAGCATTTAACGCAGTACATTTGGCATTTCATCGTCCTGTAGCTATCTCTTATTTGAAATCCCTGGATTTTGTGACATTTCCTGTGCTGAAATGGTCTCACCGAAGGTTCGTTCCTATCGGAAAGGGCTCGTTAAACTTGTCAGTCTTCGGATCAGGATTTTGTTTGACGGCATTCATTGAAGGTCAACGATTTGGTAATGCCACGTGAATCTGTAATAGTGGCGTTGGCTTTATGGACAACCGGGAAATCCCTCCCACCCAGAAATAGAGTAGTAACAAAGTAAATATGACCTGGCTTCGACAAATACACTCAATTGCAAATCAATTAGGTTTTCACGGGAAACTCAAGTGAGTCTCTTTTGGAATGTTCATCAACTGAATGTGCTGCACAGCGGCCGCCTCATGTTTCAGTTGGTACGATATTCGAGATATCGCAGAAGGGCGAAACCGGTCGTGGACTGTCCAAGAGTTTTCAGCAACTTCATGAGTAGTTTTCTTTATGAGAAATATAAACTGGTTTTCATCAGTAATTGAATTCAACACAGCTTGATCTTGACGGAAAGTAGAGTGTCTTCAAGCAAAGCATTGCAAATTCAAGACCATCCTTGAAAAAATGATGGATCTGTGCACTGAAATCTGTTATCCGACCATTTCAGATCACTAGTCACAAAAGTCAATCCGTCCATCCTTTCTGCCTTTTGTGTACAAGCAACGTTTTCACAACATGCGCTGCTCTTTCCGTTATTTGGTAAAATCACCTAAATTGGGCCAACTGACTTTAACGGCCTTGCCCTCCAGAATATGGGCAAGGTATGTCAACCTTGGGTATTTAATTAGGCTTGTAACTTTCACAGCTGTTCGTAGCAAACTCGACTTTCTCTGAAATACATCCGAAGTGCTAATAAGTTGGAATATTTGGGGTTTCACAAATGAGTGGGACACTTTTAGTTACTTGCTTAAATTAGAAACAAGCGACCAAATAACGTTCGTACGGCTACGGTCCAATAGTAAACGTGTTTCATGGGTCCGATATTGAGACTAGTCTTCCACCGCTGGATTTTTGCAACTGAGTACAACATCTGGCAGAATCTGATTTGAATTATGTTGTCTAGCTAGAAGCATTCCACACTCCTGTTCAGCCGCTTGTGGCCAGAGTACTCAATAGGACACCAGCAGTAAAGGGTGTTGTCCATTCAGTTTCCACTGAAAGGACTCCGCAGAAAGTGATTTTTCATCACGAAACACGAGAAAACGAGTCTTATTTCAAGCCATATGTGCTTTAAATTTACCGGTAATGTCATGTGCGATATTGTCTGTAAAACGACGATTTCAATCCAACTCCAAATGGATTGTCTGGAGGTACTGTTTTCTGGACACATTAAGTACACAATTCTATTTCTCTCAGCCGATTTCCCTCATACCGTTATTCGCAACGGCTTTGCATCCGCGAAGTTCATTTTTCCTGACCTTTTAGCCGTTCTACGCACAATCAAGCCCACCTGACTTGTTTAGATCAGGAAGTTGCCTTCACGTAGCTTGTCACGAAATTCAGCCAGTAGAACTGACATCCATATGGATAATCTGAGAGATTGGATCTGGTATAATCAATCCAGCATGTTAATCTGGTGGTACGATGGCAATCAAGTCAATCAATCAACCTCATACAAATCCAACAAGTTAATGATTCTACCTCAACTGGTGAACCTTTGGCTCCTGACGCCCGGAGGAAGAAAAAGAACATAACGAATGCCATAGGATAAACAGAGGCCAAGATTCTCGAGGAAGTCAAGAACAGATTGTTGTAAAATTGTGCGCAGTAACTTTCATTTAAAACTTCATCGTGCAATGGATGACTGCGCCATTCTAATGTCAAGCACCGGACATGTGCAGAATGGTGAATTTCCGAAACGTGGTTGTCACAAACGCTAAAATCAAGTCTTACGATTGGATTTTTTCCAAATTACGTAACCTCTACACCTTCGGTCATGATTGATTTGCACGCTATCCACGGTGACCTTGAATGACTATAAACTTTTTTAGTGAATAGATATACGACTCATAAACAGAACATTTCCGGTCCGACCGTTTTTTATCTTGCATATGAGCTGTGTGAGCAGTCCCACACATGTAAAAAACTATTTTTTTATCGAGGTGCGGTTTCCTCATTCCACCCTCACTAGTGTGCATTTTGCAATACGCAAACAATTTCTGTCTCTTTAGGTAATTACACTAGGCTGATGGAACTCATATCTAACGTACAGTTTTCTTATGTGCACCAGAATCTATAAAGAGACTAAAGCGTAACGTTGATTGAAGACTTCTACAACTTTTAACTCACTTATCTATGCTATAGGAGTTTCCATGTGGCACTCGCAGAGTCTGAAATATCAGACTCCTAATAAGAAACAGAGTTCTGACCAACTTTACCTCCTGGTCTCCACCTTAAACGGATTCAAATACATGATGGCTCGTTGTCGTACTGGTTAAAGGTCACAAAGCACTCCTCTGCTGGTGTTCTTGTACTGTTTCATGATAAATGTATTAGCGAACCACACAAATGAAAGTAGCCTAATAATGCCTAATAATGACATCATATGGATGCCTAGATCTTACGACACAGGCTGTTTGTAATAGCTTCCAGAGCTCCTTCTATGAAGACAACAGCTCAATTATCCCCTCATCTCTTTCAGCTCTTGCTGGTAAGCTAATCTCACACTGTACTGAGGCGCGTTGTCTATTGGAAAACAGGGGCATATTTCCAGTTATATTGTCTGAAGTAACCCCGGTTGTTTTGTCGGGTGCACAAATGTAAGTGGGAAGCCACGTCGATTATTTCAGTCATTCACAGTATGAGATGGGAAATCTCCTGAGAGAAAAAACATCCGAATGAGTGGATGCACCTTCTTATTAATCTGGTCCATCCAAGAATGTCTGTGAAATCATTCAGGAAACGAGCTGATATTCACTGTTTGTATACCAATCCTGCTTACACCATGAAAAATCGTGGGTCTAGCGCTACCAATAACAGTTTTTATGGAAGTTGACTCTCTATTACAGTTGGCTTAAGTCATCTACTGCTGTGTACTCCTCGCGTACTTCGGAGACTTAACGCCGCTGAAACCACAAAGACAGTTACACTTTCCTTTAATAGGTACGCATAGATAACGACGTGACCCTGTTGGTGCTACATTCTGATTACCGACAGTTTCCGTATGGCACCGATTTCCTAACCGACCGAACACATGATGTCCGCAAACCGGAGCCCACATTATCAACCAAAGAGCTTCATCACCATCAGCGAGGTTGCAGGTTATACGATTCCCCGACGTTCATGAGATACGCACCGCAGATGACCCTCGACAGTCGTGGGACAGCTGTACAAAGCATAGTATAGCCTAGTTTGAGATCACCTGCCGTCATATTCATCAACAGCAGTTGTAAAACCGCGTACAATAGCTACAGCGGCCACAGTCTCGTTCAGCACTTGTTTCGGGGGGTGGGATAGATAGCTGCACATTGCAGGTGGTAGTTGATATAATTTTATGTAGGGGGATTGTGAAGGTAGCTGTGCATTTAAGGCAATGGCTTGGATGCACAAGCGCCATTAAGGGCGCGACTTGGCCATGTCTGACAATGTATCTAACCGTTAATGTGGTTCGTCTCTAGGTCCCCATCCAGAAAGACGGTAGTGACCAGTGCGGCTGATTTTGCTGATAATGGCTTTCATACTTCTCAGCCAAGTCATTGAATGACCTCCCCTGGCACGTTTTCACCCTCCTCGTGGACCTGAAGAAAGAAACCTTCGGAAAAGTCAGCCTACTAGCACACGCAGCAGGCGACTAAGTCAGCGCTACACACGGAGTTTGGTCAGTTCAACTATCGAGAGTGAGTTGTTTCCTCCGATAATCATTCGACGTAGCATGGCTAATCCGGCGTTCCCACCAGAATTGGGAAATGCTTCGAAGACATCGATGGTCAAACACTGAAAGTCTTTTGACGTCCTCGGTGGGCAGCGGCCAGGTTTCTGATCCGTATGGTAATATGGTCCACACCGCAGCATTGTAAACTCGACGCTTGACAGAGAAGCTGATGGCACGCCTATGCCGCAGGTGACGCAGGTTCACAAAAGCTGCTCTGGCCTTCCAAATCCGGATGGAAATACCATCTTTCGCGAGACCACCGGGACTGATACAGCTGCCCAGGTAAACAGATTTGTCTACTATCTCATTCGCTTCATCCGCAAGCACGAGGCCAGGGTTCGAGCCCACCCAGTCTTGCACTTTGCACGTGTGAAGCGCATGCCGAAACGTGCGGCAGAATCATTTAGATCATTTAATACTGCTTGTATTACCACGGGGTTAGATCCCAGAAGAGCTGTGTTATCTGCGTACTCCATATCTGTGAGCGGACGTCCTGGAAGCACTTCGACACCACGGGCATCATTGGTTGATAGTGAGTCTTCTATAATTATATAAATGACAGTCGAAGGGGAAGTTGAGACAGGGTAGCCTTGCCTGGCATCACTAATTGTGGTTAACTCAGAAACGAGCTTTCCGTGGACCTTCAAAGGTCTGCGGAAGTTCGTTAAAGTGCTTCAAAAAGGGTCATGAATTTATGAGGGACATCTTTGTTCCACAGACACTACCATAGTGTATAAAGTCCACAGAGTCAAAGGGAGCTTTCAAGTCAAGGAACGCAACCACCTTTGAGCGCTGAAGCAGTGTCGCTGCTCCAGAGTTTGACGGATTGTGACAATGTGATTGATGCATCTTTTTGCAGGACGGAACCCAGCTTGGTTTTCCTGGATCTGTCTCTCACCGTGTTTAGTCAACCGTCGAAGAATAAGACCAGAGAGCACATTCGACGCTACAGTTAACAGGCTGATGCCACACAGCGTCAGTGTATCCTTTTGGAAAACAGAAATAACTGTCAATGTGTTCCATTTTCAGACACTTTCTCTGCGTTCTAAACTGAACTTGGTAGGTGGTTCACCAGGGATTCCCCGCTAACGTTAAACAGGGTTGGATGCAAACCGTCCGGTCCTGGTGCCTCTTCACGATTCAGAACGGATGGTTCATAATATGTTTCCTCTAACGGGTGGTAAAGGTTAAAACTTATTCGCGTGTATGTATTACTTCTACAGGTTGTGTTGCAGGATGTCAGCTAAACTGCTCTTCGAAGTGTTCAAGTCGGTAATTTTAGGATGAATTTTAGAAACTCCATTTTTCATTTATGATTTCACTGTCCGTTTCTCTCTCGGGGACACTCGATTGTATCAGTTGATGCAAGGCACGGCTGTTTCCGGTAGCAAAGGCCTTCTCCATCTCTCAAGCTTTCAATGTTCGTCAGAGCCCTCGGTCTTTCCTTAGGCTCTTCACCATCTGGCGTTTGAGAAGTTTTCCTGCGTCGTTGTACTCGTCGCCTGCTCGTATGAATTTCCTGGCGTCAGTCGTGGACAACAACAAGTAATCTTGAGGTTGGATCGGAGAAGTCGAAGAGACAGGACTGAACGCCGCCAGCATAGCTTCTTTCAAATTTTGCCATGCTTCATCTACGTGCTCACTACCAGTACAGTTTACTGTGGAAAACGGTTTTGCTAACGCATATCTATACTGCTGAGCTATGTTAGTTCTTCGGAGATAGTGGATTGGCACGCTTCTTGCTGACTTACGATGGCCTGTTGGGAAAAGAAATATCAGACATGCATGCACCAGGGCGTTAGCGAAATCAAGTGATGTGCCTCAGAAGGCAGCCCTGAATGTTGCCTCTTCACCGCTTGCTGATGGCTACGTCATCCATCTAGGACCACAGTTGATTTACGGTTGGTGATCTCCAGGTTGCTCGATGCGAACGTTCATACTGAAAGTTCGTACTGAGCAGCACACATTTAAAGGAGTCGCTCTCCATTATCTGGGTGACGACCATTCACTTCGAATCTACCACCGAAATGTACTGAGAAACGCGCCGGTGGTCACGGTCAACCGTTGGGTGATCTGAGTGTGCGGTTTTCATGGCCGACCTTTATTAACCCGTCCTTCCTCGGGCAGGGCAATACCACTACTTCCGACAACACGGACATGCTGGTCGTCGGGGGGACACCTTACTGCCTCCACACTCCAATCGCACAGGACAGTACTTTACCCTTAGACTGCCTCGTAGCACGAGTGTTCACAGTAGGGATCTTGCTGCTCTTAGTCTGACTACTCCTTTTTGGCATTCCTGGCATGGGTGTCTTGTGGGACGAAGTTTCGGCCAGGGTAGCCCCACAGGATCCCTGCAGCTCTCAGACCAGACTACCACGTCAATGTGGCAGGTTTAGGTCGGGTACGAGGTGTACCATTGTGTCTCACATGGGTGTCGCATCTGAGCGCTGGCGTCCAAAGACTAGCCATAAGATAACAGCATTTACTGAGTGATTCGACACTGGAAATTGGGTCAGCTGGGGCCATAGTGCAAATGCAGCCCTGAGAAATATTAGAAGCCAAAGCACTCGGCTCATAAACCTGGCCTCAAAGCGGCTGTGTTTATTGGGATATACCAATGCATTACAATTTTTATTAAACAAGTCGCCATCTAGTTAAAACGTGTAAACTGGGGGACCAGGATACCGTATTGGTCAGACCCCTTGATCACTGGTCAACCTTATATGAGAGACTGTGAGTGTGGCGCAGAAACTCTCCCTAATAGGAAGTACACCGAACAATACATCTCAGTAAGGTTCAGTCTCTTGATGACGGGCCCGGAATAACCCATGAGATTGAATATATTGGGATAACTGATTGCTAGTGCATAGATCGCAACTTTTCGGAAATATACAATCGCAATCAGGATATACCAAAATCATTCAAGCACCCATAAAACGATTAGACTTTCCGTCAAAATCTTAATTTATGAGCACAATTTTTCTTGGTGTGTTCGGTGCTCAATGTATTCAACGTATTCAATGGTTTTCCAACGTTTATTCCAGTGTATGAATCAGTGTTGATAAAAGACTGAAGTGATCATCTTCTGGGTGAATTCACTGGCTTCAGTCTCATACACTTGGTTTTCATTCAGTTGAATTAATAATTTAGAGTGGGCTGAAGATAGAGACTGAAAAGGGTTGTAGATGAACTTGAAAGTTCAGGTTCCCGGAGACCTAGCCTTCTTTCGTTCTTTTCTCGGATTAGCAGAAAGGAGAGGAGCAACATCATGATGGTCTCGTTGGCTAACCTAGTTTGACTTATAAGGACTAGATGTGAACTAAATCAGTTTTTACGGTGGAAGCCTACTGGACAGGCGAATCCCCACACTATTTCATATCCAAGGGTAAAGCACAGCTCACTAGTTCACTGAATCAAACATATATACTAGCGATCTAAGCACAGGCAGAAAACCCAAACAATACCGGTAAAAATCCATGGAAAATGTCTCTGCTTAACTTATCCCGTGGGACCGGATAAAATCGTGAAATCACCGCCAATAACCTGCCGCAAAACAGAAACCATCAATAATGCGTCAGATCCCAATAAGCACTTGATTAAGTTCAATGACTAATATAGGTGAAAGGAAGGCTCTTGCTGCGGAGTCACTTATTAGAAAACACCAACTGAACAGTTACAGACTATTGGACAGGAAAGTAAAACTCTCATATGTTTATGAAACTCAAATATCCTGAAGGCGCCTTCCTAGATTTCTCGGATATTCATTGATTATCACTCAAGTGTAAACGGGTGTTACAAAGTGATTACACAAATTCCGTGAATAAATCCCACGTTTCAACAGACCAGGCGGAGTTACGAGAAAACATACTACTCGCATATCCCACCAGTAGTACCCACCGTTATCCAGGTAGAACGGAGATTAAGCCTCAAAATAATTTGCTGCGAAATAGACGCCAAAACGGGTAGTCTATAACGCGTATCGGAAGATGACCACCTTAGTTATCACGTTCTATCTTCTGTAGAGTTAATAAAGTAAGCTGATTTCTGCCTTCGTTTGAAGTTTCACTTTTGGTTTCTTCGTTGTAATTCAAAACAGTCAACATTCTAAGGGAGTGATATTTTCTGGCTGCGTTTGGTTTGTGTGAGAGCAGTCCACAGTCATGCACGTCTGAGTGGGTTCCAAACAACAGCGCATAGGTTACCTTCAAAAATAGAGGGTTTCGGCTCACCTATGACATCGTGATTCCTAGTCCTTATTTTTCAAGATGAAATTGATCGGGAACGACATCCAGACTTATTCGAGGATGTTGCTGTCCCGTGTGTAACTGCCAGTTTCATAGAATACGACCCTGGTGGAGAAGATAAAAACAAAAGACTAAGGTCCTGCCGAAAATCGATGTTGAGTCTTCAAGATCAAAATGTCTTTGAGCCAGACCGTTTATTCAGAGATGGCAGATAGCCCTCTATGACAAGCTACAAACCATATCTACTAATGATCCCTGGAGTGTTCATTCATGTCCTTATCTATTCTAACCTTACCTTAAAAAATGCTCAGATATCAAACACCTTTGATACGCAACAATGTTTCTGTAAAATAGCAGGCGCAGCGCATAGAATCCAACGGATATATATCAGTAAGTTTGGATTTAACTACTCCGGTGAAGACAATTCTAAACATCCCT